GCTTAATAGAGAAACTCTTTCTCTTTAGCAGAGCCTGTATGACTAAGAGTCCTCTTCACGCACCAGATATCCACTGAGGATCAGGCCCCTGTCCCCGCCCCTTAGCCTGCTCAACCAAAATCGTCTTAATTTTTAATAAAGAAAGGGGGAGATGCTGGGAGCGAGCCTATGGACTTTTAAGCAATGCTAGTTATGTAAGTCTTAAGACAACAGCAATCATTTATGCAGTAAGGCAGAGTTGCTCTCCTAGCCAAATCAATATAGATCTTGCAGTCAGATTGCTAAGCAATGTTTCCTCCTCTGTTCTTTCCACTGGCCTTCTAACCCTGCCAAACTCCTGCTTCTCAAGAACAGCCGCTGCCCCAGGGGAAAGCCCCACCCTTAAACCTCCCTCCCAAGGGCCCCCACCCACAAGATGGCGAACTTCCTGCTTCTCTCCCGGGTCCTCGGTTCCCACCGGCGCCCCCGAAGCCCAATCACCTCTCTACACGTTCCCGCCGGCGCCAACTGAAGACCAATCAACTCTTTACATATATTTTCATCACAACCTATATAAATTGAGCCTGAGAAAAATTAAATTGGTCAGCTTGATCAGACATCCTGTCTTGCTGTCCGTTCTTTGTGTCTCTTGCCCCTTCATTCTCTCCTCCAGGTCGTCGACCCCCGTTGATAGTCCTGCGGGTCGGGACAGCATGTGAATTATATCTCAAAAAAAAAAATTGAAATGATATGTTTGTGTATGCAAAGAAAACCCTGAAAGTCACACAACCAAACTCCACACAGAGGTTACCTTTGCACAATAAGGTTTATACATTTCTGTATTGTCTGATTTCACAATGAGGATGTATAACTTGGGTAATTTTTTAAAATAACAATAGTAAAAAGACAACAGAATAGAGGAACTGTATTTGTTTCTGGGAAAGTGGGAAGGACATTCAGATTCTCGCTGTATCGTGAGAAAATCCCTATCAACTTGCAGGGCCACTTCCAGTGTCACTGCCCCAGGGAAGACTTTTGCAGACAGATTATCTATAACCTCCTGACAGGCAGCTATGACAGCACAAGTTGGCTCTTGGTAACTAGGTGATGTCAGATTGTCTTTTTCAAATTCAGTTAAAAATCAGATAATTCAAACTGATTCCTTTGATTCTTTGTACAACACTTTACATCTAACCAAATTCTTCTCTTTTGTCCTGAAATTACAAAAAGAATATACATTTTAAATTCAAGCATTACAGAAGTATATAAAGTAAGAGGGTTAAAAACTTTCTCTAAACATTCACCTCCTACACCTAATCTTAAGAATGACAAGTTGTTAACAATTTGGAGCCATTCATTCTTCATGACAAAAAACTGTTAGTTCTAGTAGTTAACCAGTTGTACAAGTTGGATCTGTTTGGGAAAATTGTAATCGTGTCATGCAGAATTAAGAGTCAAATCAAACCGTCTCCTGTGTGAAGTTTTCCCTGTAGGCCATCTTCAAAACTTAGGTTCTTGAATTAGGGCTCAAGTTGATTGAAAGTTCAAGACTCTGTCAGTAGCAACACCTGGGATAAAAGGAATTCAAGAAAAGATTTCAAAGTCTCAGCTGCTAGGATAACAGTTTATATGCATGTCCCAGTGGGCAAATATGCTCACTTACATATTTATCACTTTCTGGTTTTCAGTTTCAAACAACGAAAGAATACTTCTTCCCATCCTGTTGGAGGACTACAAAGTACAGGTAAGTTCCAAGGACCCTAGGAAGCCAGGAACTCACGCAGGACTGCACAGGGCCGGGCTGCAGAAGGGCTGGGTTACAAATGAGACAGGGACCATGGGCCTAGATGAGTAGGGTGAGGGCCTCTGGAAAAAACAAAGCAAGATAAATCCATTGTGGGATTTTGCCAGTCCCCTCCCTGCTTCTGACCCACAGACAAGGGAGGAGACGCAATGAGATATCGAAGACCTGAAAGGGACAGCCAGGGGGCTCAAGGTGTAACAGCTCAAGAGTGGTGCTGAAAGAGCACCTCTCATATTTATTGATCAGGAATCACATTCTTGAGTGGGTGAACAAGTTTCTAGACACAGTGATTAACATGCTTTACTCCAGGAATGTAATTGCCTCTGTTAGGCTGGAGGAAGGAAAAACAAGGACATGCAAACAGAACACAGAGATATCATGAAAGGAGAACAGACCAGACCCCAAGTTCTGTGCCTTATACGGAAAGGGGACAGCTCTTCCTGAATTCCATCCTTCTGATGTGCCAACTAAGACCCAGATGTCAGCCTCCTCCCTCTTGGAAGGAAAAAAAGTTTCTAGTTGTTTGTCATGTCACCTTTAGTCAATCATACCTCTCCACACCCCTAGGATAGCTTGCCCACTCCTCTCCCACCTAACCCCTTATAAGCCCTCACCTCCCTGACTGGGTGTGACTTCCCCAGCCTCCATTTACATAGACTGGTGAACCTCGCCTGGGAATTGCGCTCAAATAAATTGCCTGGCCCTTTGTTGCCTCTTGTCGCCTGCTTATTTTGGTTAGAATTTATCTTATATTTGGTGCCAAAACCCAGGAAGGAGCATGGGCGCGGGGTCCCAACTGGCCACTGGTCACCCTGTCCCCTCCTTCCCCAACCCGGGACCTCAGCCTGCTCTCCGCTGCATGGACTATTTTCCAGTGAGTCCCTCAGTTTCCACCAGTCTGTTTCCCTTCCTAACTCCATTTCACCTGGTCCATCCAAAATTGTAGCTACATCCAGGTTTGGGCATTCAGCAGGGCATGTTCCAAGGGCCCTCTGGAACATGTCAGAGTTAACTAGAGGTAAAAGCACTTTTTTGCATTTAATTCTATTAGAACTGTCTATCATTACACATTTATTATCTATATACCCAGCACAGTAAACGAGATACTTTAAAAAGGTGGGGCAGCAGGGGAGACTGCTGCTGTCAGTTTAAAAGACAATATATATAAAGTCAAAATAATTCTAGGTTACTAAGCATTCTTGAGAGAATGGTAGCAGATGGTAGATTCCTCTGCTTTCATCTTCAGGAAGGGAAAAAAAGCTACAATAAGAATTCACATTTAGCTGAAAGAACTGTCTAAACTCAAGGCAGAGTATAATATCACCAGGCATACAAAAGACCTGTTAGAGATACATACAAAGAATGAATATGGCTATAGTCAAATTCAACTTAAAAGTTTAAGCAGAATCTCAAATTTAAATGTCTCTTTCTTTCACACAGATATTCAGATATGACCAGAAATATGATTTGAGATGAAAGAGATCAGGCATTTTACTTCTTCATTTAGGGACTGAGAAATGATGACCTTTGGCTTACAATCAATAGCTTACAAACAGTGAAAATAATAAGAACATAACTCAGCATAAGTGTCTAAGACCAGATACAAAAAAGCAGAGAAAGTGCTTAAGTCTACAGGTCTTCCCTGAAAGCTTCAAGAATGTTTTACTCTTTAATAGTAGATAGAGCTTTTAATAGAATTTGCATAGCAGCTTATAAGATCATTTGTATTAAAAAAATATGGAGAGTCCTCCATGTTTTTTAAGACATACAAACATATCTACAGCATATAAATTAAACAAGAAGACCTGGTGGTTCTCAAAAAAATCTATTACAACTTTTCTCAAAAGTGGTCACACGTTCGTCCATCTAAACCTTTACAGTGAAACCTGTTTTTCTGGGAGAAACATAATCTTGTCCAGATTCTACAGTTTAATAAATTTTGGTTTGTTAACTAAGTGCATTTAATCAGCTGAAAAAAGCTTTGTTACTATTCTGCTTAGGAATTCAATTTTTCAGGCCATGCAATCATTTTTAATAACAAAATATTTCAAAGGCAAATAAAGGTTACACAGTTGTTAACAAACTTTAGCTTTTAGTCCCTTTAACATTACGATTTCATGGCAACTCACTGAGACTTTAAGCATGAGAAACTGCTGTGATCTTTCAACATTAAGAGCAGACTAACAGTTAAAGAAAACTGTTTAACTGGAAACGAGATTCTAATTTTGCTGTGCACTCGATACCAAGACTTACTCGCTTCAGTTTCACATAGCATGACTATACTAACTCTTCCACAAGCCTTCTACAACTTTCTTTTTACATTCAGTGTTCTCTCTTTAAACAAATAGCTGCACTTCAGAACAATCACTCTCTCTTTTACTTTCAACAAAACGAATTTCCGTTCTTTACACTTTCTCTCATTAAAACATACATCCTCCAGCATAGAGAAATGCCCTCTCCATCAGTTCTAACCAGAACTCAAAACTATTAGAAACTTCAACCTCCAGTGAACACTGAGAAGCAGGACACTGCAAACTGTCAAACTAACATTCTCTAGACCGACAAACTTACGAACACATTCTACAATTTCTGCAACCATGAGCTTCACAGCACAATCTCCCAGCAAACACAGAGCACATCTTCTCAACTTAACAAAACTCTAAGGCTTTAAGTTACTACAAAGATTCTCAGGCTGCAGGTAGGCATACACACTGCAACACACAATTAAAAAGGTGTTCACTTGCCACACTTATCCAGCTCACCTACCTGCAACAACTACGCTAGCCTACTCACAAGCCCCCCACTGAACACTAGACAAAGCCAAGCTTCTAAGCATTCTATTCTTAAAAGATTTAGCAGATAACATGACTCAAATGACTCTAGGTAAACTCAGGCAGCCGACAACTACCAAGACATGCCCTCCTTAGGCAAACTCAAATTAGCATTAATGCTTAACACTTTTTTATCAGGTTTTCTGGAAGTTTTAGAATACTCAATTTTCACAAGCGCTTGTCTTTAAATCAATTTCATTAATACCATCCGGAGGTAGAAAGATATATTCATTTACACACTTAGGGGGTTGTCTGAATCTGTCCCATTGTCAGTATAACAATTATTAGGCACGTGAAAGACACAAAAAACAGACACACACAGATTAGACACACAGCGGCCGCTTTTTGTTTTTTCTCAGATTTTCAAACAGAAACCGAAAGGAATCAGAGGGTTGATATTCCTGGCGCCTGAAAATCAACCCTATCTCATCAGATTCACCTTGCCGGAAAAACAGACGGGAGGCTACCAGGCGTCCCTGGCCTCCCAACCTCCCCGAGGCGTCCCCCAGGGTTGCAGCCTGCGGTGCTCCTAGTACGTCTACCGACCGCAGTCTCGACCCCTTTACGGGATCGGGACAGCTGCCAGACAGTGGGTACCCCCTTTCAGAATTCTGACCGGTCTCACTGAAAAACAGAAGACAGAACACAGACAACTCAAGGCGCCACTAATCTTACCTCTTCCTCCAAGAGCGACTTCGGGAGTGAAGCGGGGTGAGCGCATGATCCCGGACGAGCCCCCAAATGTTGGATTCTCCCAGAGGAGGATGCCGCCCCAAATCACTCACGAAAGGCGTCTCTTGATGCAATAAGCAAGAGGAATTTATTCAGGAACCAGCTAGCTGGGGTCCAAGTTAGCCCGACGCAGCGGGTCTCAACAAGGACCCTGAGCACACAAAGCCAGAAGGTTTTATAGCATTTTCAAAGGGGGCAACATTTTCCACAATCACAATACAGTGTTTTTTCATAGACACATAAATCTTTGCCGGGGCCACATCCTGGGGTCTGGTTAGATAAGATTACCTTCGGAATGTTTAGGGTGATTCTAGTAAGATAAGCTTGCTGTGTATGATTAACTGATTTGAGGTCAGCTAATTAAAGGTCACTACATTTAACACTGGCTGACTAACTTGTTTTTCAAGATTCTAATAATTTTCCTCCTTCTAGGTTAGGGGGTGGTATTTAAGCCTTTAAGATGGCTGTACTTATGCTAACTTTTGATTCTTCAGATCCTACAGCACCACCTCCTCTCCCTCTCCTTCCACCTTCATCGCCCCCTTCACCCACCAGAACATGCTCCTCCCACCCTCCAGTTCTGAAAGCCACGGACAAGAAGCTAAAGAGAAAGAAAGCAATTAAATATTAGTAACTCAAATCTTTATATCAGTTTGTGTATATGCTTTTATATGAAAAGTGTTGCTAACTGTAGTCATTATGTCTCAATTTGTATGTTTGTGTGTCTCAGTGTGTAAATGAAAAATATTTTCTTGCCTCCAGATGATATTAATAAAAATTTATTTAAAAACAAGCGCTTGTGAAAACTGAGCATTCTAAAACTCCCAGAAAATCTAATAAAAAACATTAACCATTAATGCTAATTTAAGTTGAACTGAAATGGACATGTCCTTATGGTTATCAGCTGCCTAAGTTGACCTAAAGTCATTTAAGTTGATGTCATCTGCTAAATCTTTCAAGAATAAAATGCTTAGAGGCTTGACTTTGTCTAATGTTCAGTAAAAGTTTTGTAAGTAATCTAGCATAGTTGTTAAGAATGAGTAAAGTAAGTGTAGCAAGTGAACATCTGAATAATTGTGTGTTACAATGTATATACCTACAGAACAGCCTGAGAATCTTTGTGGTGACTTAAAACCTTAAAGCTTTGCTAAGTTTAAACATATTTTGTGCTTAATGAGATTGTGCTGTAAAGCACACGATTCCAGAAATTATAAAATGTGTTCATAAATGTTTCAAAGAATGCTAGTGTAACAGTTTATAATAGCCTACTTCTCAGTGTTCACTGAATATTAAGGTACCTAATGGTTTTAAGTTCTAATTAAAACCAGTTAAAGTAATAAGGAAAACATTTTTGCATGCTAAAGAATGTGTCTTTTGATAAAAGAAAGTAACTTTGTTCTAAAATACAGCTGTTTATTTAAAGAGGGAGAACTCTAACTGTAAAAGGAAGTTATACAAAGTTTGTGGAAGAATTGATATGGTCCTGCTACATAAAATTA